GTCTTTTAGGAGGGGGCGGAAATGAAATGACGGACACCAATGAGAGTTTTTGGGCCTCGGCAGCGTCGCCACACCAGCTCCCGAGTTCTACCTGTCTGATTGAATTCGGGAGCTATCAGAATGTGGCTCCCGAGAGCACTCCCGAAATCGCTCGAGCCTCCCGCCTGTAAAAAAAAGGCCATTTTCAGGAGACCTCTCACGGAGGCCGTGTTTCGACCGGAGAACTTGTGCGCAGACAAGCGTTCTCCTCACAGTTTTCGTCGCCACATGCTGGACAATGCTGGACAGTCTCTCTGTCTGAAGTGTGCCTCCTGGCCTCCAAATCGGAGAGCGCCCCAAGTCGGGAGCGGGAGTGCAGTGTGGCGAAGCCCACTCCCAAATGGATTTCGCGTCTTCGGACATTCTGGAGTACTCCCCCAATTTTTTTCTCGAAGTCGGGAGTAGTGTGGCGAGGCCCATTATCAACGGCGGTCGTCATCAGGCCCTGGCCCTGTTCTTTTAGCAGTATGGGAAGACTGCCAGTCAGTTTTCCCGATTTTTCCAACACTGGCAGAGGTACTACAGTCTTCACCCGAACACAACGTACCGTCATTATAGCTATATTTGGGGCAACTTTGCATCTATATACAGTGATAATGACCGTACGTTACAATAATGACCGTACGTTGTATTCGGGTGAAGACTGTAGTGCTTGAAAAAAGAAAGAAAAGGGAAAAAAGAAAAAAAAAGAAAGGGGCAGCTCCCCACTGTGCTTCATGGTTTATGGCGTGCGATGCCATCGTTTACTCTTTGGCTGGTGCGCTATGTACTTCTGCCGAGCCAGCTTGCACTCGGGGGTGCTGATATTTATTCTTCTACGTCTTATCTCCCCTCTCTTTCGTCTCACACCATGTGTTGCATGACCATGTTGTCGGCTGATATTCATTATATATCTGCAGCTCCCCATCAACTGACTACTTAGGAGCCTTCACATCAGGAGTCCTACTTAGGAAGGGGGGGG